AAAGGCCGGGGGCTGAGACGAGTAGGTCTGGCAGACAGCTATTTATCTTCTGGCTGGCCGGACTTGTTAGCCTACGGTGAGAAACCTTTTTTTTTTTTTGCCAGGGCTGCAAATTAGATTAGATTATTAGATTCCTAATAGACTATTAAGATTCCTAATAAAGGAATCTTTTGTGTGTCCTGTCAGAGGGGTTTGTCGTCTTTGGGGAGCTGGGTCAGAACAGGCCTCCCGAATCATCGTGTGTTTCGCGTGTGTTCGAGGGGAACCTTTGCATCCATAGTCACAGGCACTGTCGTCAGAAACACACACACACACACACAATCACACACACACACACGCGCAGAGCGTGCTTACCACTTCTAGAAAAAAGTCAACGTGGGGCCTCTTATGTACAAAAAAGCGGACAGGATGCTTATCTATGACGACCTGGGGAAAGGAACAGGGTCGTTAGAAAAAAGGAACAGTCAAAGAGCCATGAAGTGCACGGACAGCCAGCACTGACAAAACTCAGGAAATTGTGTAACCAAATTACACCCATTTCCCAGAACCAAAACTACTGAGGGCGCCAGGTAAACCTACAGGACTGAAGTTACCTAAGGCCTACCGTCCAACCTGGTAGGAAGAGAAGGTAGAGCAATAGGACTTATATATATATATAACTTCACGGTGCCTTGCAGACTGTTGTCAACTCATAAGCGTTGTACCTTTTGACTCTGGACAAATGTATCTTTTCTTTTATGTGCCCTGAGAGCTTATGCACCAAAGACAAATTCCTTGTGTGTCCAATCACACTTGGCCAATATTCTATTCTATTCTATTCTATTCTGTTCTGTTCTGTTCTGTTCTGTGCTGTGCCATGCCATTCTCTATTCTATTCTATTCTATTCTATTCTATTCTATTCTATTCTATTCTATTCCTATTCTATTCTATTCCTATATTTTATTATTCATTCTATTCTATTCTATTCCATTAATAACCTATGATTATCACTAAGTGCTGTATCTTATGATTCTTGATGAATATATTGGTGCTTATGCACTGGACAAATTCCTTGGGTGTACAATCACACTTGGCCAATAAAAGAATTCAATTCAATTCCATTCCATTCCATTCCATTATTCTATTCTAAATTCTATTCTATTCCCTTTCTTATTCTATTCCTATTCTATTCTATTCTATTTCTATATTTTATTATTCATGCTATTCTATTCCATTCCATTAATTCCATATAATTATCACTAAGTGCTGTATCTTATGATTCTTGATGAATGTTATTGGTGCTTATGCACCGAAGACAAATTCCTTGAGTGTCTAATCACACTTGGCCAATAAAAGAATTCAATTCTATTCTATTCTATTCCATTATTCTATTCTAAATTCTATTCTATTCTAAATTCTATTCTATTCTAATTCTATTCTATTCCCTTTCTTATTCTATTTCTATTCTATTCCTATTCTATTCTATTTCTATATTTTATTATCCATTCTATTCCATTCCATTAATAACCTATGATTATCATCACTAAGTGCTGTATCTTATGATTCTTGGTGAATGTTATTGGTGCTTATGCACCGAAGACTAATTCCTTGAGTGTACAATCACCCTCGGCCAATAAAAGAATTCTATTTTATTCTAGATAATCAGACAGACTGACTGACTCCTCAACACTGGAGGGATTTTTTTTTTTTTTAATGTCAGGGCAAATTCCTGGGCCCTCCAGGATGGGGCACGATTCAGTGCCCTGCCTGCGCCCCCCCCCCCC